CCCCAAAACCCCAAAACCCCAAAACCCCGTAAGGCAGAATTATTTTAGGATTTTAAAATAAATTCATGAGCACATGCCTTTATATAATAATTCAAATATATTATCTGCTACTTGCAAGAGCTATGGTTCATCCATCTAAGTGTCCATCTACTCCAAATCACTCTAACTCAATATACCCATATCATTTTATCCATGTCTACCTCTAAGATTTTTCACATTCCTTAATTCTCTCATATTTTCATTTAGCATAGCAATCATATTATCAATCTTAGGATTAAATTAAGAGTTAATTTTATCGTCTATTATTTGCTTTGCCTATTTGTAATCATCTTAAGTCAATTCAACATTCTACTGCTAATTATCTACATTTTAGATAAGTTGATTTTCTGGCTGCAGATTGATTTCATTTTAACTTGAAAGCATTTACCTCAATATCTAATTAATTTAATTATCAGTAGGCCTGTCCTTTGCAATTTCATCATTATCTAATATCTGATTTTCAGTTGGATATAGTGTTGTGTCGAGAAAAAATGGGGCTTCTTTCATTAGATCTGGCATTGTTACTGGTTCTGGTCTGACAAAATTCTTCTTAGGAAAGAGAATTTGATTCTGAAAAGTAATATTCTGACTATTCTTGAGAGTTTAAATACCTTATGAGAGTGACATCAACTGGCTCAAGAAGTCCTTATAAGTCTTATCATCTCCTAAATGTCTGGCCAAAACCTCATCTATTTGTTCCTTAAGCACGCTTGCATTTCTTTGAACAATCTTAATATTTTGAACTGTATCACTATCCACTTTCTGCTATTGCTAAGCAGTCATGGTGTTAATTTATGTAGTTCTTTATGAGTTCATTTTTAATATGATTATAAATTAAGATTAATAATTGGACTAAAAATAAGCACCTGAGAGTAATTCCTTATTGAGATAGATAATTAAATAATACTGCTGAGACAGGGCTAGACCTCATTAATAAATGGGTCTAAAATTTGAGTATAAACCAATTATTTAAAAGCAATCAGAAGTAAAAATAAATTGAATTTCAAGATGAGTGAAGGCGACAAAGTATACAATTATGGCTTTAGTAGCAGCAAGAGCAACACCAATAACTCTAATTCCTATGATGAGCCCCCTAAAAAATAAGGTAAGGCTGGCTACAATTTCCTCAGATCTAATAAGAAATTTCACCAAAACACAAGTAAAAGTTTTGAGCCTAAAGGGTTCAATCCTAATAGTTCATTCAAGCCAGACAAGTTTAAACAAGATTATAATTTAGGCAGGAAGAAGCTTTCTGCTGCAAATGGAGACAAAAAAGAATCTGAGCCATCCAGCAAAAATAGTTGGCAAAAAAAGAAGAGCACGCCACCACCAGCAGCAACGAATAATGGTGGTGATAAAGGATCGTAGAATAGATAGACGTATGCCTATGGAAATGTTATCAAACCACTTCAAAAAATATATACTTAATTGACTATCGAGGGTATAAAGAGATTGATTACTATTGGTAATGGAAATGCTAGCGGTGGAAATCATTTTGAACCAGATAGTGACAAAGATCTAATAGTCCAAGTTATATTGATTAAATACCTTGAAGATAGCAAAAATATGAAAGCAAGGTTGATGATATCAGATGGAAATTGGGCAGTAATGGCGGTAATTACTCAAGATTTATATAATAAAATGGTAATTTATTAACTAATGCCTAACTATTAATACAGGACGGAAAAGAAATTTAATAATTTGATGTTATTAAATGCTCAAAAGTGCTCACAAAGACTTATGATTCAGATTAAGAGTAAGCTTTTATTAAGTTTAATCATAAAAACATAGTTAAATTGTACTAGTTATAACATACCCTCCTTAAGTTGTTTATTCAAATCTTAAAGCCAGAATTGGTAATCCAAAAGAAATGACCAAATCTTAATCTTAATCCTAAATGCCAAAAGAAAATTTACAGCCAGCTAAGATTCCTTACAATGTAATCCTATAAAACTCCACCATTCAAGAGTTTGAGCTTGTATATCAAGATGGTGGATTCTTACCAATAGCCAAATTGACTCCTTATATGGGAGGGAGATGGAGAATAAAAGCTAGACTGACCAAGAAAGGAGATAGAAGGTCATGGAAAAGTGACAAAGGAGAGGGAACATTGATGAATGTAGAACTTATAGATGAGGATGGAACGACTATCTAGGGCACATTCTTCCAAGATATTGCTGACAAATTTTATGATTTGTTGAGAGAGAACTGTGTCTATGTAATGACAGGAGGATTAGTTAAAAATGCCTCCTCAAAGTTTTCATCAATCAAGCACGACTACTGTATAGTATTTGACAAATTCACTGAGATTTCTGAAATTGATGATGATGGTACCGTAGCTTAGGAGAAATCTAAATCAGGCTTTAATTTTAGTTCGATAGACAAGATAGCTGAGATGAATCCTATGGAGTCAGTTGATATTCTAGGCATCGTATATATGGTTGGGCCAGTTGGCTCTGTACAACTAAAAAGTGGAGAATATAAGTAACGAAGGAATATTTTAATATGCGACGAATCTAATCTTACTATATGTGTGTGCTTCTGGGGTGAGAAAGCCAGCTCTCATGATTTTAGTGGCTAGCCAGTGGTTGCTGTAAAAAATGCCAAGGTCAGTGATTTTGCCTAAAAAAGTCTTAATGCCAACGAAGATTCTCAAGTATTCTTCAACTGCTAATTTGACAAAGCTAAAGAGATGAGAAGTTGGTTTGATTCATTAGATAAAGAACATGATTTTCATGCTTTATCAACAGGAACTGGCTTAGAAAATATGATGAAAGAACCTCCTAAAGATGAAACTTTACTAAGGTTTTGTTAACCATAAAAAGATATCCCACCTAGCATGCAGAGTACAATTAAAAATAATCCTGAAGAAGGAAATACCATAGAATAAGATGTAGAGATGTAAGAAGGAGATGAAAGAGAAGATACTGATATTGGAGGCGAAAGATCTATTTCCCCAAATGAGATAAGGAAAAAACTATTTGAAGAAAGAAGAAAGAGTTTTGCTAGAAGGTGGTTTACAAAGTACAACTACTTTTAAAAGATGAGAGAATAGAAAGAAATCTCTAAAAGAGGTAGAGCAAGCAGTGGAATCGGTGAAGAAAGAATAATGTAAATGGAATTAGCAAAGTCTATGGCAACTAGAGCAAGAAAAAGAGGAAGAAAGCCAAAGTAATAAGAAAGCGTCCTTGGATTACCATAAGAATTTAAATTCAGTTACGCGAATGGAAACAATAAAAAAAGAGGAAGAAGACCGGGTAAAATAGGAGAATCGTCTGGTCCAGGCGGAGTACCTGGAGTGGACAATTATTGAAAATTGAAATATAATGAATATTAAGAATTAAATGATAATTTATTAATTTCATAAATTAGTCCAAATCTTACACTCATGGGGTTTTGGGGTTTTGGGGTTTTGGGG